TTGGTTATGTGAGCTGGGGTCACGTGTCTAGAACTTATAACTGCGTCTACCCAAAAGGTCGAGTCTGCGGTTCTGCAGCTGCTTTTGTCCTTGTAGAAATAAGAGAAATAGAACTATGGCTAGAGTTGGCTGTATCTGTCCACAGCTAGTTAACCCGACTGTCCCTTGTAATGTATGCTTCAGAAGTAAAGCCAATATAACCCGAGACATATTTTAGTTAGAACATTTTAATTGCATACTGTTATATATATTTTTTACCAGAACTACTTTCATTTTGTGATTCCTGATACTATAAGAACCATTAACAAGTCACTGATGTACTGTATATATGTTTTGAAATTAACAATTGATTTTATTATAGCAGGCAATACATTCTTTAAAATATAGTATTTAAGAGCCTTTTTTGTGAACTGAGCCACGTTCTCTTTAGTATGTTTAAACACCTCATTGTAGGTGTTTATGAAATGTTTTCAACTTGGTTTTTCCTTATAAGACTCAGTCTAGGTGAGACACATATTCTTGAAAAGTGAAGATCTGATTTTGAAAAGTGTTTCTGTCTTAAAGGCTGTTGTACATTCTAATCCTCCCCACCTAGAGAATTTTGAGTCTTTCTTTTAATGCGTTTGAGAATTGTTTTAGGAAATACCTCTCCATATATGTGGACGTATTTATCACTATTATTTAAAAAATGCTTTTTGTCAGATGTTAAAAAAAAAAACAACTTTAACTCTAATGTATTTTGTTCCTGCACAGAACCGTTAGTGTTTCAGAGCTGTTTCACATACTAGATTAGAGATTCACTTAATAACGAATTCTGCCTATTTTGGTTTTCCACAAAGGTTTGTTGTCTGAGCTTAAAATAAGACTGCAGCTGATTCGTGTAACACATATTAACTGTTTATTTAGTTTAAGTACATGTCTGTATCTCTCATTTCTGATCGTGAAAAATTTGCATTCTATGCAGCAGCCATCTTCTTTTATACTTTATTAAATATCTGTCAATTATAAATATCAAGGTTTTACATTAATGTCAAGATAGTACATCAAAAATTCATGGAATATGTGACTTTTTCCAAGGGTATTTAATACTTAATGCATTTGTGTCATTTTTCTTTCCAGAGATATTGACAGGTTTTATTAAGTGTTTGTTAGGGAGATTTCATTTTTATCAAGGGACTATAAAGAGAAGCTGCATGCTAAATCAATTTTTTAAAGCCAGAATATTGTTCATTTTTTCATCTTCAAACTCAAGTAATCCATAGGTTTTATGTAAATTTCTTCTGGGTTTATTTTTGTTTTATGTGAATGATAGTTCAAGATAGAACTTTAATAAGGATCAAATATGCTGACTGTAGTGGTTTTTAATTTCCTTAAGCATAGCTACCAGACCCATGCAATATGGTAAATTCTTCAAAATGTCATACTTACATATTTAGCAATATTACTTCTTTTTATTGAAGCCAAACAAATGATTTTAGATATGAATCTTTCCCAAACGTAGTGATTATTTTGTACTAGGTACAATATTACTGTGTCTCATCTGGAATCCCTCCAGACGAAGGAGTGGAGGAGTGCTTCCCTGGGCTCAGAGCTCTTTTAGAAGTAAGCTCTCCGGGCTTCAAGTCTGATCGCGAGCCACGGCCGTGGTTCATTCTCCAGCTTCAAATATTTATAATGCTCGAGAAAGCGAAAACATCAATCACTTAAAATCTGCAGAAAATCTGTGGCTAGTTTCTAAACCCGTGTGTAAGGGGGTGGGAGGCGGGGAGGGAGTTCGTGCTGTGGCCGACCTGGGCCCTGCTCCTGTTGGGCCCCAGTGGCTGAGAGTCCCTGTCACTGTCTCTCTGACACGACCCCCCTCACCCATCCCACGTATGTCTACAACTGTCACAGCTAAAACGAATTGGCCACAAAGTGTAAGGTTTCCATTTTAATTTGCATTTTTATTTTCAAAGTACACGTTCGTATCTTCCTTCTGTTGGAGGAGGCGTTATTGGGATAAACCCTTACCGATTTCTCTCTGTAAAGTGAGGTATGGTCTGTCATCCTCCCTATAACGTATGGTCTTAAAAACTTTCACCTGAGAACATCTGAGTCACTTTCAGGTGGTACCTTCAGGTTAATATTACAATTTTTACAAGATGCATTTTTAAACCTTCACTTGGTCTTCAGCAGGGAAAAGGCTTGGTGTTTAAACAAGAACTCATTCTGTCCAGTGTTTAAAAAAAAAAAAAAATCACTCTGTCCACAGCTTAAATACGGAGTCATTTGGATTAGGCATTTTTCTTGTGCATTTTTTTCAGGATATGTAAAAATATTTCTTTTTAAAGTTATATGTTTTTCATAAGCAAACCATTTTCAATCTCAAGATCCTTGTAGAACTATCATGTAATTTTAAGAGGTAGGGTAGGTATTTTTAGAAAGTAAATTTTGCTTGAGTAAAGCTGAAGCAGTAGCCGTTCTAGGTAAACCCAGTTTTGGTTTACGGTAAGTTGCTGTGCAGACCCTGCCCTGGGAAATAATTCAAGAACTCCGCAACTGGGACCTATCTACCATAACACCAGTAGGTGGCAGTAGTGTCACAGTAGTGAGAGCTTTGTTGAAATGGAAGTTATTTGCTATTCTCCATAGTGTCACATTTTGCTTCAGTGTAACTGTTAAGTGCATGTGTCTGTGGCAGAATAGCTTTTTATATCAGAATTACATACAGTAGGCACACCCTATTTTTTTAAGCAGATAAGAACAACTATTTCTAACAGATTCTGCAAATATTACATAACTCTACAGCCAAAATAATCTTCATCTGAAGAAAGCATTTGTGCATTTTTTTCCTTGAGTTTTCTTTACAACTTCATCAGGACTGTGAGCATGAAGTTATATTTTCAGTAAGAAATGTGTATAAATAGTAGGAAGGGAAACATTTTGGAGAATGAATTTTCCATCTTTTTAGTCCTTGAGGAGGTCGCTGTTGTTTGAACAGTTTCTTGTAGCGTCCAAAGCTATTTAAAGATCTTTGAGTATTGGAAGATTCTTCCTCAAGTTGTTTTCGCATTCGGCAATCCAATTTGGAGAATTCTCATCTTTTCTCCTATTCAATAAGTCAAACTTTTTGGGGAGAGGAATGCGGATCAGATTTTGAAAATGTATGGGATTTCGCACTGCAGTTTACCAGCTTTCAAAATACCATAGTGTGTCCCACAGTTTAAATGAATTTAAATATTTTAAAATAACAAAAACAACACTGCTCTCCCGCCTGCTAGGGTTTGAAAAGAGGTTGGGGATGTGCAGCTCTCCCAGCGGATCGGATGCGAAGGTACATTTTGTTACAGATCAAAGGGAATTTGAACAACAATGCTGACGTTTGCCTGTGGTGCTATTTATCACGAAGTCAGTTTTGGGCAGAGGGACAGTTTTATCTGCTGAATTTGTACTTGGATGAGCAGAGACCCGAACACTTGTGATCGTTTCCTAATTCAGTGGGAGGCATCTCCTGGACTGTAGGACGCAGCTGTGCGTTCCGTTTGTTACAAAGCAGGGGCAGCGAGAAGCTCCAGTCCCTTGGATTCTCGCATCGTCGCGGTCCTTGACTGTGGTATCGTTTGTTTTTTTGTTTTTTTAACCCCAAAGATAGGATGTCCTGACGTTCCTGTAGCAGCTAGAAAACGCCCCAGGGCAATGTTATTTTATGTATTCACGTAAAAATATCTTCTGTAATTTCATTTTCATCGTCATAGAATATTTCATGAATATATTCTTATATGTTAACTTTTCTTCCAAAGGGTTAAAACCAGCCCAAGGATGAGAGGGGAGAAGCCGGGCACCTGGGAGCTAACACCCAATTGGCAGCCTTTTGTAATATATAATTTGCCTAAAATTGCGCACTGAGCACAAGCTTTTGTTTTCTAATTGATTTACGGTTTGAGCCACTTTTACCTCATCCCCTACTGTCCTGCGGACGGTGCCAGCGAGTACATTACAGTGAGCGATGATAAATTACCGTGTACTTGTGATGCTAATGCGTCAAGAGTAAAAACTGCCTACTACACGGAGCTTTACGCATTAACAGCGGGGCAAAGACCCAGTGCGGCAGAGTTTCATTTGTATCTCAGAAGTAACCATTTGTTCATTTGATCACTTACTGCAATCTGTCTATCGGACTGTAATTGAAACTGAAGATTAAAATTATACTGTTACAGCTTTTAATTTCTTAATTGAGACAAAGTTTTTAAGTGCTTGGAAGGTCTAAGGTGCTGGGCGGGTGGGGGGGAGTGTTGTGAACAGAGAATATGAAGTGTATAAAATTCTTCATAAGTGTGAAGTTTTGGATATTTTTACCAAATGTTCTTTTGTCCAGAAAAAAAAAATAGTCGTACAATTTAAATATGTCAATCTCTGTTTTTTAAATCTGTTTGTAAAAATCATTTTGTAATTTCACGAAACTGTACTTTTCCTGATTTTCTGCCCTGGAGTCACATTTAGCATGTAGATGATTCATTTGTCCATAACAAGTTGATTCCCATCCAAATGATTTAAGTCAGAGATAAATGAAAGAACTTTCCATTTATTAGTGCCTTTAATTGTCCCTTTCATTGATGTGAGGAGAGATCTGACATCTATGCATAAAGGGACGCACAGCACATTGTGGCAAAGGACACAGAGGCCAGCCGCACACCTGACCTTGGGGGCTCCGGGTTTCAGTTTCGAGGGTGTGCCTACCTTTGGTGAAGTTAGTCCACCTTAAATTATATTTTTGTGCCATGTCTAGTATCGAAATAGGAAGAAGCAGATTTATGGCGGCTGCTGGGCACAACAAATAAGTTGACAGTGATGCATGAGAGCGTGAGACGTGATGGTCCCTCAGCAGCGCGGCTGGACGCCTCCCGCTTCATCTGGCCCTTGTTAGGGTCTGTTAGGCAGCTAAGTAATGAAATTCTGCTGACTGATTTTTGTTTTCCCTTTTTCTTTTTTCACCCCTGCTTTCTAAAACGTCTAATTCGCAGACCCATCCTCATGCCAACAAACTGCCCTTGAAGGATTCTTTCACTTATGAGGACTACAGGTTGGTTGGGGGGATGTGCGTGTGCACGTGCGCGAGTGTGTGTCGTGATGTGTGTGTGCATGTGGGGAGTGTGTGTGTGTGTGTGTTGGGGGGTGGTGTCTAAGTGAATGTGGGATCTCGGAAGTGAGAACTGCTTCAGTAAAAGTGACCTGTGTCACCATGTAAAGCCTCAAGACAGAGATAGTCGTCAGAAGTTAAAGGGACAACTGGGACGAGTGTCAGAGCCTTAACGCCGCCGTGTAGGGCGTAGGTCTCCGCTCACCGGGCGGTCGGGCTCAGTCGAGGCAGCCGCTAGAAGTTGGGGCTTAACATCCACGTGGGGTGCTCACGAGGGTTGTTTTCTTTTTAAATAGACTATTTTAGTGTAAAGTGGGACTTATTTTTGAACAAAAAGATTTAATTCTCTGTACAACATAATAAAGACTAGCACTCCACATTTTGTAGAGTTCTTGGAGGATTTCTGGTCAGAAAGGAGTTAGGTTTTTTGCTCTTCACTGAGTCTTCAAATAGCTGCAGAGTCAGCGTCTGGGGGAGAGCTGGGGTTGACCTGGGCGGGGGGCGGTCAGGGCGCAGGAGGACCCAGGGAGCCCCTTCCAGGCCTCCCCCAGGAGCATCCTCCCTCCCTCGCTCCTGGCGGCTCCGGCTCCCTTTTCCTTCCGCTGCCCCCTCCCCACTCCCAACCCTAGATTTAATTTTCAGTGACGATGATGAAGTCCAGCCTCCACCTTTGGGACTTAGGAAAAGGTTTTGAAGATTCGTGAGCATCAGACAGAGCTCGCTGTCCGGTCGAGTCGGTACCGCGATGGCTCTGCGCGTCCGCGCGTCACCCTCCTCTCTCTGGTCGTTGCAGGTGGGCAGTCTCTTCCGTTATGACGCGGCAAAACCAGATCCCCACGGAGGACGGTTCCCGGGTGACCCTGGCGCTGATTCCTCTATGGGACATGTGCAATCACACCAACGGCCTGGTAACGACCTCCTCTGTGTGGTGTGTAGTCGGGGGAGCTGTTGTGGTTAAGCTGGAAAGTGGACATTCCGCCTCCAAACCACTTTCTGCCCCGACCGCCTCCTGCAAAGGGAGCAAACACCCCTCCCCGCCGCCCACAACTCCGGGCTGGGGTTCTCCTCCCCTCCCCGTGTTTGCTTAAACTCCAATACCGGGGACTCGAGTCTTGCATCACTTTCAGAAACCACAGCGAACTGCATTTGTCTGCCAAGCCGGAATTCCAGCCCAAACCTTCATTCTCCTATCGAACCACAGACTAAACCAAAGTCTCTTTTTTCACATTCTTGTAAAAAATAGTGATTTACTGAGAAAACCTTCTTTCTCTTTTTTCCTTTCGAGTCCCTTGCTTTCTCCCTTCGCTGACTCCGTTTCCGGTTATGCGCTGCTTGTTCTCTGGTCCCTTCCCTCCCCGTGTTCACCTGACATGCCGACACGCCGCGGCCCGGCCGGTGCTTGGCTGCTTTTGCTCAGGCGCGGGCTCCGCTCTTGGCCTTGAGCTCCGGACTCACGTTGGCATCATCAGGTGTGGGAAGCACCGGGCGGCAGACGTTAGGAAAACGGGCGTTTGACAGCGATTGTTAAGTAGGGTGCTGAGCGGGAAGGAGGGAGCCTTCCTTCCCTCGCCGCTTCTGCATTCTTTGGATTCCAGGCAACAAAGAGGGACGCGGGCTCCTTGTCTGAGAAAGGCTTCCTGATACTAGTAGATCAAAACAGGACCAACTTCAGGATGTTCTGGATTTTTAAGCATTGTACCGGTATACTGGCTTGGTTAATTTTTTGTTCATTTTTTCTCAGCTTTTTCATCAGCTTCCTAGGTTATTATTAGCAGTATTATAAATAGACTGGGAAAATGCCGTAAATGAGTATTTCACATCTAATTCCACAAAGTGGCCGGTACACATGTAATGGATACCCTCGTGCTGCTCTGGGGAGGTCCAGCGACAGGGACACTCCTAAGTTACAGAGGATGAGGACTTCCACCTTATGATTATATTTTCGCCTTAATTTACATATGCTTAATTTAATTAGCCATTTTAAGAAATAGCATATTTTATCATTTATTTTCATTAACAAAATTTTACATTCTCTGTTCTTTATTTTTTCTTTCAAATCTATTTTAAACTGATCATAAGATTAAAGTTTTAAAATTTCACAAATAGCTTTTAACATTTCACTATAACACATATGTATTTTTTTGGAGTAGATCATTGGTTCCCAAACTTGATTAATCACTAGAGGTTTTTTTTTAATTTCTAAAGTTTAAAAAGTACATACTTCATTATAAACAAACAAAACCAATTAAACAATACAGAAGCCTCAGGGTAAAATGCAGAGGTTCCTTCCCCACCAGTCCCTGGCCCAGCTCCTGGCCCAGCCCCTGGCCCAGCCCCAAGGCCCCCGGCACTGGATGTCCCCAGGTCAGTGGTCGAGGTCTCCTACCCTTTGCTGTGCATTTGAACCATCACATACTCGCACACTGGTTTTTGCGTTGCTTTCACATAAATGGGATTAAACGATTCACTTTTTTCCACCTAAAAGTGAAAAAAGTTAGTTTACATCAAAATGAAAATAATGAATTGATGACAACTACTAATGCTGCATTTTCTTTAATACTATTCATAAGCTCTAACTTCCCACAGCCCTGGAAAAAATGTTGCTAAGCGTTAGAAGGTTCACACAAGGCATTAGTACTTTTCCTGTAGCGGGTTATTTTCCCTGCATAGTTATCTCGACACCTCTGTGGACCTGTTTCCCGTTGCAGTGAGAGGACTTCATGGGAAATTTTATCTGGTAGAATTTGAGAGTCTGTTCTCACACTACGAAGTGGTGTTGTTATGTGTATTAACAGTTAATCTCTTTTTTAAAATGAGGTACTTGAAGTTAAGGCTCAGCTTTTCAGACAGTAGATTTTCTTTTGTGTGCCTGTCTGTCCTGACGACTGTTTGTCTATTCTGTCACCGAGAGAGTAGATAGAAATTTGTAACCCAGCAACGCTGTACGCTTCTAACAGTGTCCCAAAAACCTGGTTTATGGGAGTAGAAATGGAAGAATCGAGTCTGACAGTAATTCCGAACCAGTAGCAGCAGCAAGGAAAAGCAGAAGGAAATAAGAAGCTGGGTGAACACCTAGGCCAGAGATTCTGGAATGTGAACTGATTTCCTAGCCACGTGGAGAAACAGATTTAGACCAGTTTATGAGACACAGTATCAAGCTATAAGAAATAATATATCCTTAAGTTCTGTGGGACTTGTGCAAAATCCACGTAAGCAGCGGGGTTCCTTTCTTGAGGTTGTTCAGTTGAGACAGAGAAGGACACCTCGGTGGTTACAGACCATTGTGTTAGTTCCAGTAGGTAAAGCGTGTCGCAGTGGTCAGCCTTGGTGTTTGAATGCGTGACTCTTGGGTCGGGGTGAAGGAACATTGGGAAATTCACACAGAATTGAGGGAGGCTCTTTTTCAAGGTCATTCTGTTTGAGTTTTGAAAAATCTAAAACATGTAGATTGACATGAGGCTCCTAGTCTCCAAGTAAAAGCCCCGGTTTTTACAAGTGCAGACGAGGCCACCCGCTCGTCCTGTTCCCGCCACTCAGGCAGCCACATCCCCTGCGGTTCCTCAGACAGCCGCGCAGACAAACCCCAGGGCCTTTGCACTCGCACCATCTGCCTGAAACACTGTCCCTGGGGCGTCTGCAGGATACCCAAGACCTCAGAAGTGCTCACAGCCCTGAGCACTGTGCACAGAATGGCCACAGCCCCCCTCCCGTAAGCCTCCCTTCCTGTCCTGTCCTCTGTCTCCTGAATTTCTGTGTATTCCTTTTTGTGCGTGGTTGGTCCTCGCCCTGTCCTGTGCCCCTGACCCCTTCCCTCCTGCTTCCCCTAACTTCCGTGTCGGGTCATGCTCCTGCCAGGTCCCTGTGGGGCCACACTGGAATGCCAGGCATTCGGGGCTGGGGGTTGACAGGCAACGGCTACCTTATCGTCAGGGTCATTTCTGGGGTCAGAAAAGTGATTTTTATGTTGGGCAGGAACTGTATGGGCTGATTTTGTCAAGTGTTTAAGCTGTTCTTTGAGAATGTGCCAGAATACTTAGCTTCCTACATTTCTCATCGCTTTCCTAGTTCTCACTGGTCTTACAGATCAGAAACGTGAAAGATTTCTGGCTATACAGTTACTAAACCGTTGGTTCTGGGATAGCGGGTGTACAGATGTGCGTTGCATGCCCTTGGATCCCAGAACGCCATTTGCTAGACTCAAGGTGTCTATCTTTTGGACTCAAACTGTTGATACCTTGATGAGCAAGTAGCACCTGTCAGTCTTGAATTTGGATTCTCTAGGATAAAATGAGGAGGTTGAAAGTAATTACTGAACATTTACAGATAACCTGAGAGACTGGGTGGGGGGCGGACAGACTCCCGAAGTGGACTTTGAATATAAACTGGGGGCCCTGTTCTTTCCCCTGGTGGTTCGTGCATCAAGTATGTATTCTGAAAGACAGTGTCAGGTGTCAGGTCCGGCGTGCTAGGCGCCCAGACATGGGGTAGGAGGGGAGCGCCAGGTCTGTCCGGTGGTGGCAGGCACACGGGTCAATCCCCTGATGTGTAGGGCCTCTGAGAGTGCAGACCCAGGCCGGGGCGAGGGCTCAGGCAGAATGGCAGCGGGCAGTTCCAGGCACGAGCGAGCACAGTGGCCGGTGCAGCAGGCTGCTGGTGTGTCAGGAGGCCGAAGGAACGCCTGGGCTCCCTCGTTGACTGTCCTTGCTCAAGAATTTGGATTTTTTTTTCTGAAGACAGAGTCCAGTGGCGCTGGAAGGTTTTAGATGGGAGATCCACGTTGTAATGTCGCTAAGGATGCAGGCGGACAGTGCTGGGATCGGAGGCCAGTTGGAAGGTTTTTGCAAGTGATAAGTTAGGCACCAAAGAACGAGGCCATCAGCCACACAGGGAGCAAGGAGGGAGGAAACAATCCGAGGATCATTTAGGAGATAAAAATGCCCACTGGCTGAGGTGTGGAGTGTTTCCTTGTGACTGGTGTGCCAAGTCTTTATCCAGTGGAAAACCCACTTCAGTTTCTTAAAGGCCAAACGTTAGATAAAGACAATATTTGCAAGTCAATCCGGGTTCTCCGGGGTCCTGGATCCGACTGTGGGGGGGTGGGTGCCACAGCATTGCCCGCTGGGGGCCTCGGAGGCAGTGACTTTGTAATAAATGGTTTATGTTTGGTTGAGACCAGCAAGTGATAATCTATATGCTATGTTTCCTAAGAGTAGTCCTTTACTTCAGATGCAGAATCTTCTACAAGAATTTCTAGTGTGAATAGTATTAATTAACATAACCGAGCATTTCTCAGCTCAGTTTTACAAAGCACCGCACGATGCATGCACCCTTTTTTTAAAAAAGGACTTGGGTAGCTTTTTATCCTCTAATTGCCGAAAAGAGGCCCTCACGAGGGAGACCATGGACACCTGGACTCCGTGTCGCCCTCTAGATCACCACTGGCTATAACCTGGAGGACGACCGCTGCGAGTGTGTGGCTCTGCGGGACTTCCGGGCCGGAGAGCAGGTGGGTGGCCATGGCGTCTGACGCGGGCTAGCGCTGGGCACCCAGGCGGTGCCGCCTTGGTGATGTTAAAAAGGGGTTTACCTCAGGCAGACACGTTCGGGACTGACACTTAGGGTTGTTTTGGAAACACGTCTTGAGACTGGAAGCTGTTGTAACATCATGCTTTACGCTGGGCCTTTGGATCCACAAAGGAAAAAGATTCAAATGCAGTTATTTGCACAATCAGCTTAATATTTGTAATGACCTAAAATTTGTAGCTGAAAATAAACTTTGTTGTTATGACAGTAGAAAGAATTTTCCAATTTTATAAACTGCATTGTTTTCATTTTTTTTTTATTTCTGTTGACTAGAACCTTCTTTATAAAGCAGCAGTTTATTTAAGTGGCAAAAACATACGGGAATCAGGAACTCTAAGACCTATCTTTTTGTCTTTTCGCTTTAATCTGTGAATTTTTAATCTAATAATTTGGGCAGGGGCAGGATTTCAGTAAGTTTGAAAATATGCCCCTATAAATACCTGCGTTCTGTCTGTCAGTTTGCTGACCAAGCAGATAATACACAAAAAAGAAAACAACGACGTAGACCACGTTCCAATTGAGCCAAATGAAAATGTTAGTCTAACCAAGTACTGATCTATTTCTGTAGAAAAGCTAATGAGCCCTCCTGCCGGGTGCAGAATTGCCACAGGATCTAGAAATGAATTTCTGACAGACATTGCTCCAGAAGATACTCTTGTGTTGAAAGGGGAGGAAGAACGTGGTGAATTTCAAAGTAATAGTAACAAATAGTCTTCCTGTCCATCAGAGGGAGAGCATCACGAGGGAGGTGGGGGACGTGGGGGACGCCTCCGGGCTCCTTTGTGTATTAGCAAGGCCCTTGCTGGCCTGGCCGGGAGGTGAGGCCCTTCCTCCCCCTCTGACAGGTGGGAAATTGGGGAACTGCGCGCCTCGCCCTAACTTCACCCGGCTACATGCAATGCACAGAATAGGTGTATAATCACTTCAGAGCTGTTTTGTTCCATTAGTGTAAAGCCATATTAAGTATATGAGAACTGATCCTTTGTCCTGCTCTGTTAAGAATGGATGTTAAGTTTCTTTTATGTCCCTTTATTTTTTTCTTTACTGCATCTCAGATTTACATTTTTTATGGCACTCGGTCAAATGCAGAGTTTGTGATCCACAGTGGTTTTTTCTTTGACAATAATTCACACGACAGAGTGAAAATAAAGCTCGGAGTGAGTAAAAGTGACAGGCTCTACGCGATGAAGGCCGAGGTCTTGGCTCGCGCTGGCATCCCCACGTACGTAGAAAACAGCGGTCAGCTCTTCCCTGTGGTGCTTGAAAGAGTTCCAGTTGCATGATGTTTAATTGGTGTATTACCAAAACTTCTCTACGGTAGTTTGTCTTAATTCCTTTATCCCTGTTACACAGTGAGGTTAGACCATTGAGATGCCTGGTGATTGACCAGCGTTTTCAGACAGACATAATCGTGTTGCTGGTGTGCTCACAGTCAGTTGTAGGGCATATGGCCCAAAGTCCCCGTTAAGCAGGCACTTTGCTGTCATTAATGTCTTTCGCTTTGAAAAGGTTAATGACCTGGATCAATTTGTTTCACTTAATTCTTTGCCACCATTAGTTTCTGTAATGAAGTCGTGATACTCAGTGATTTCAAGAATTTCGGGTTAAATTCTTTAAGATTTTCTTGCATTTGAGGTGCAAAATGATAAAGAAGACAAGAACTGTGATTTATTAGTTCTCTGGGGAATGGAGGAACCATTCTTAATGAAAATGGATTATCCAGGCCTTTTTTTATTGAACTTGTCAATATTTGATTAATGATTAAAATGTGAACTCCACATAAATTATTACCATTTTTTAAGAACCATGGGTCCACTTAATTCTCGTCACGTGTCGCGTGCACCCTGAGATCGAGTCCGTTGGACTGTGGGAGTTGCTGGCAGAGATGGTCACGCCATCCTCGTCAGGCGGGCGGGCCTCCAGCCTGCGACAGGCCTGTAAACAGTGCTTGCAGGGTCGAGCCGAGGAGCCGCAGTGACGGGCTCGGCCCTGCAAGCACCGTTCGGCTCGGCGCTCCTTGGAGACGTCCAGCTTGTAGATTTAGGGCATTTCTCTCTGGAACAAGCCGGCGACTGCGGCCGGGTGACTGATCTCCTGCTTTTTCTCAGTTCCAGCGTTTTCGCCTTGCATTTCACCGAGCCACCCATCTCTGCCCAGCTCCTGGCTTTCCTCCGAGTATTCTGCATGACTGAAGGTAAATTATTTCAGGAAAAAAATATGTTCACCTTAAGAAATTTCATGAAAATATATAAAGCATCAGGATTCAGATTAAAGGTAAAATTGCTGAAAACTAAAGTACCTTTTGGGAGGAGGTAAGATGGCAATATTGGAGAGAAAAATTGATCTATTTTCCCTGGAAATGTTTTATTAAATCCTCGGTGTGTTATCATTATTTACTTGTCATAAACAAATAATTCTCTGCTTCATTGGAAGGAAACTTAAAAATCTTGGATTGTCTAACTGTATCAAAATTCTGTGTTTGGAGATGGGAGTTTTTGACGTGCTTATTACCCAGGACAGCCTGTTCACTCAGTGTGCTCGTATGTTTAAGTCACCTAGAGAAGTTAGTGATCAGTTGACAGTGAAGTCACATGGTCAGCAGTGGCATATGTGGGCCATGGGACTTCGTTAACCAAGTCTGTGTTCTGAATCTGAAGTTGCCAGCAAGCCTTCTAATGCCAGGCATCCTGTTGGCGGAGATGATGCTGCCAACAGAATCGGCCTCCATACCGTGTTCCTGTCTCCAGCCTCTTTTTTCAGGCACAGAAAGAGTTAAATATGTGTATTGAGCATCTACTTTTCCGTTTGCGTAAAACAAGTCATTCGGGATTTCTTACTGAGATTCGACCTATCGTGTGTGATTGGGTTTTCACGTTTTGTCTGAAACTGCTCCTTCACATGTCTGGGTCTGGGGTTTCATTTTTGAGTGAGCGAGCGAGCGAGCCGGGGACCCAATACCTGACTAAACAGGCGAGTCTGTGTCCCCCTGAAGGCAGCGGCCCGAGCACCAAGGCAGAGCAGTGAGCCTGTGCGGTAACCGAGACCGTGGAGGGGAGTCTGCGGGCTCTGCTGTCCTCAGCTCCCCGGCTTCACATCTGGATCCAGGAGAAGTGCCACCAGGTCCAAGGTCTTCATCAGGTTGGAGGCAGAAGAAACTCAGTCCCAAAGCACAGAGGCAATTTAGGCACCAACTGGCACCCGCCGAGGTGCGAGACAGTCCTTGTCCCTCATAAGCAGCCATGTTGCTGTGGTCTCGCCGTCACTCAAGTGAGAGCCTTTCGTGACTCGGTGCTTTGGTGGCTTTGGTCACTTCCATTGAATGGACAGGAGTTAGGGGTTACTGTGGGCTCTTCTTACGTGTAGTGCGGGGATACGGAATTGACACGGTGCCTGTGCTGAAGGAATTGACGATGAAGAGATGATGGCAATAATAACCCCGATAATTTGTGAGCTCACGCCACGTGACTGGCACGAAGTGTGGTCCGGTGCAGACCGCATGTTAATTCTCATCCGCCTGGCGAGGGATCCCCACTGGACTGATGGAGAGGCGCCAGTTCAAAGAGGACGCGCAACTTGGCCGCTCGGCTAGCAGCCGATGACCCTGACCTGGCACCCCGCTCTGCTGGCTTCAGAGTTTGCACCCCGGACATCTGCGTAGCTGCTGCTGGTTCACAGATAACGTCATGATAGAAGAGATCCTGGTGCCCTCGGGGTCTGGGGGAGCCAGGCTGAGGAGCAAGGGCACCGGTCACTCTCCGGGTGACTGAACGCACACTCCTGCAGTGGCCGGCCGAAGATGGGGAGCCCCTGTGGGGACAGGGCTGACTCCCATGCAGGGAATTGTCCTAGTGTGTTAGCCGGAGGAAAGCTGGGGGGTGGGGTGGGGGAGGACACCCACCCCAGGAACCTGGGGTTCACCTCCCCACGCGTTCCAGACCAGCCGTAGGCCCCTGTTGGGGTTTTGCTGCGCTAAGGGTGTGAAACGAGCCTGGCTCACTGCTGAGAGGTAGAGAGAGAGAACGCTCTGCTTCTCCCGCAGCCTTCCACATGGGCACGCAAATCTGGGGCAGGCCGGGGTGGAAAACGAAAGCAGTGACCTTAGGATTCGGGGTTCTAAAAAGAAATTTCTACACTAAGGGCACATGTTTTAAATCTTAATTACCGTATACAAAGAATATAAACTGAAGGATCAAAAATCTAAAAATCCTGAATTTTACCATGATATTTTCCTAGAAAGGCACCTTTTTTGGGGGGAGGGGGGTGTCCACTTTAATTTTCAGATTATACCAATGTATAAGTGCTATTTAAATGTGACCTTTATTTTTTTTTTTAACTTTTTAAATTTTTTATTTTTATTCATTTATTTTATTTTATTTTTTTAAATGCCTACAGCACCTAGTTTTCGAAGGCGGTCTCCCATCCAAGTACTAACCAGGCCCGACCCTGCTTAGCTTCTGAGATCAGAGTCAGGGAGGCATGACCGTAGACTTCATTTCTTTTTTGAACGTTAGATTAACCTGTTTTCTTAAAAAAATAACTGCTTGAATCATTTTAGGTCTGTCTTGATTCTTTCATTTCTCTTTAGTCATAGAGAGACAGTTTGTCATGTCAAGACAATTGATGCCTTCTTCGAATTATTCTAAATAATACTGATAAAAGTTTGGTTTGCTGGCAACAGAAGTTCTTCAGTTTGAATTGTAAATAGTGACAGCTGTGGGGCATTTTGCTCTGAAAAGAGAGACTGTCTCATAATTACATAAGAAGCCTGGGTGTATTTCTTGGGCATGAATAGGATCGGCATGTTTTGGTCTTTTGAAGATAATGTGCCCAGAGATAAAACGCTCAGAGCAGTTGCTGAACTCTTTCTTCCTCTTAAGAATATTCGAAGGTGATCGAGATGTTCACTTGCGTTTATTTGTAATTCCTGTTTAAATTCCTGACAAGTGAGGGACATAGGCACATTTTTCATTAACTGTGATTTTCATGGTCCATTTTCTTGTTTTTCTTCGTGGCTTACTTGTTATAAGGTGAGACAGATAGTTTTGTCAGGTCGACTACTGGAAGAGGCACCAATCAGACTTAAATTTAGCAGGGTCGCTGGAGTGTCGTGCTGCTGCTCGTTTTTACCCTTTTGCTCAGTTGGTGTGACTGAACCCATGGCTTGTAGGAAGGGTATTGTCAAAATGTTGCTATAGATTATCTTTATTATTCTTCTTATTTTATTATTTTTTTATTATGGTGACATTGGAAATCCAGTAAGTTTCAAGTGTACAATTCAATAGTAAGTCATGTATATTTAGCGTTGCTAGAGATTGTCTTTAAAAAGTATCTTGAGAAACTGTCTAAAGCTCTCGGTGTCCGTCATAAAAACCACGAACAGTGAGGGGGGAGCTGTGCTGAGGCTCCTTCTGGCTTCCAGCTCAGGAAGACGCGCCTTGGTTCCCACCCCCCATGTAGCCCTACCTGCTCTGCACAGTCTGGAAATGGCCTGGCCGGCTGATCGCGGAGAGCTCTAAGCCAAGGAAAATGGCATTGTTGGAGAAGACATCTTGTAAGGTGGATCGCCTGTTAAAATGAGGAAATGGGGTGCTATTTCCCCACCTAACAGATGGCCGTGTGTATTTCTTGTAGAAGAATTGAAAGAACATTTGCTAGGAGACAATGCTATCGATAGAATCTTCACTTTGGGCAACTCTGAGTATCCCGTGAGCTGGGACAACGAGGTCAAACTTTGGACATTTCTTGAAGATCGAGCCTCGCTTCTTTTAAAGACATATAAAACAACCGTTGAGGTAATTAGATTGATTGAATGAGGGTTTGAGATGTGTGATGTTTTAAAAGATGCTTAGTAAGAATCCTTCCTAAATATAAATTACTGTAATTCTCTAGCAAAATCATGGTATGTGACATTTTTCATTCAACTTAACATTTTCTTATTTAACACATTTATACTTAGAGAAAGAATCATTTTGAGGCATTGTTGGTTAGAAGATAGATTTTAAAAATTTAATACTTCTCTATAATTTCTAATTC